GGGCGGGTGAGCGCTGCCCGGCGCGGCGCTCGGTCCCGGGGTGAGACGTGAGGGGGTGACCCGCTCTTGTGCCTGCAGGTTGCCCGTCCTTTCACGAACTGCGTGAGGTAACACAAACGCGGATTCCATGTCTTTTCTTGTAAGTAAACCCGAACGGATTAGGGTGAGTGTTGAACACCTTCCAGCTTCCCTCAGACGCCGGCGTGCCGGTAGAGCCTGCCTTGCGCTTGTGCAGAGGAGCCGCGGCGGGGCCGGCCTCCTGGAAAGCACCTTAAAGTCACATTAAAACGTGCTAATTATAGGGCAGGGTATCGATGTGCAAGCTAGGTGCCGGTTAAAAAAGAAAAAACCCGTGCTGAAGTATTTATTGCTTGCACACCTGTATGTCCTTTGCGTGAGGTGCAAGGCGTTTGTAACGGGCCTGGCAGTTGAGAAAAAGTGCGGTAACGCTGATTGTTTTCTACCTTTCTTAAGAGATTGCTGCCTCAGCTGTGTCGCATCACTGACCGTTTCTGTTTGTGTTGGTTTTTTCCTAAACTTGGGTTGGAAAGCTAAGCACAACAGTTTTGTTTAATTCCACACTTTTCGGTGAGGAAGTTTCATGCGAGAAAACCACTTTTAATGCCTTAAGGTGGTATTGTTATATATGAATTTTGAGTCATCATCACCTAAAGACTTGTTGGTGCTTTCTAGGACTGGCTTCCCTTGCGCTAAACAACATAAGCTATTTTTGTAGTTATTTTACCGAGTAGACAAATTCTAACGTGGGAGTGTTTGTTTATTTAATGCTAACTTCATGATCAACACTCTGCAAGCCTAAAATTGTATATTCTATTGTGCGTCGTGTGTGTGTATATATGTTTTTCTTTGAATCACAGAGTTGAATAGAGCAGTAGAAACATTTCTCTGCACAACCTAATGCTTGCTGTGAATTTTAAGCGTGAATTCTGGAAAAGAGCAACAGCTTTGAAACATTTATGTTCTAATTTCACATTCAGCCAATAGATATATAGTCAAAATATTTAAATTCTCTAATACACCTCATTGTAAATATTTGAAGTGTTTTTACACCTGTTACACCCAAACAAACAAGTTTTATTTGCCTATATAAGGGAGTTGTAGCATGCTTATTATTTTTGCTGTATGTGCATGTGTAAAGGTTCTTGTTTGAATGATCTAAAATTATGTTAACTTTATTGCAAGTGCATGCTGGTCAGGAAAAGCAGTAGCACCTATGTGGTTGCTGAGTGCATGCCATCATAGTGGCACAAGAAGGGAATGTGCTTGTCCAAAATAAGGATGTAACTCTGAGATGTTGTACCTAATTGCTTTCAGACCACTTGAATCCTTGAAGTGTTAATGATTCTCTTATGTTTTTTGGGGGGGAGGAAGAAAAGAAACTTTTTTCTAGATGGAATAATTAATTATCTGGCTTTTTTTTCTTTCTTTCAGCGGTGGGTGTCTGAAAAGTTCATTGTTGAGGGCTTAAGAGATTTCGAACTGTTTGGAGGTAAGTTTTCCTCTCATTAGATGGCATTGTTAGAAATATTTTGTTTTAGCTGCAGGGTTTGATAATTTGGTTGTAAATATGTATCTTAACAGTAAAGATGTGACTAAATCTGGTTGTAGTACCAGATCTGGTTATTCAAGCTGGCTAACTGTATAAAATTAACATGGAAGTGTCCAAGATCTAGCAAGTTATTTGGAAATCAGTTTCACATTGATGACAGTACTATTTTCAGACCCTGCAGTCTGTATTTCTTAGCATAACCACTTTTTTTTTTTTCCTATGCAAAAGATAGATTTGGGGTTTGGGAAGGTTAATTGTAATTTTCCAACTAAAAATGGAGTTTGAAACTCTGATGATAGCTCCCCAGGGTACCTGCAGGAGAGCTGATTGGTTTCTGTTCTTCTTTGTACATAAGGAACAAAATTGCCCACTAGGATGCAGAATTCCTGATCAGTGACATGGGAAGCAATCAGAGCATAGGAAAGACGTCTAGATCTTGAGTTTCCAGATGGAGTGGAAGAATTTTCATTACTGTGAATAAACTTTAGATAGTTTTGTCTGCATTTAAGTGAAGTAGATAAGTCATTTTTGAATGTGTTTAGAGGTATAATAAAAAAAATTGTCACCTTACATTTATGTTGAATATATGATCAGTAGCACTATTTGAATCTCTTTAATTCCCATACTTGTACTGCAACTTGATTATTTTTAGTGCTGGAACCTTATGTGTAAACGAAATGTCTTTGTCTAAAAAAAAATTGTATACATTTGATATCAAAAAGTATCATGCAGGTTATTTACTCAGTTTTCCAACTGTGTTTTAATGGGTATCTGTTGAACACAACGTGGTGAACAATTAATTTCTTTACTCCAGAGCAGCCTCCGGGTGACTCTCGGAGAAAAGTAAGTGACTTTTGCAGGCTGTGGTGCTGTGGTTCATTGCATGGAGATTATTCCTTGTGGAAGTTTGATTTTTCTTTTTATCTTAGTTATATATTTCATCTCTATATTCTGCTCTACAAGTGTGGAAACAGGTTTCACCCTGGAGTGGGGATTTTGGTGTGTGGTTTTCAAACTGTATGTGACAAGTCAAAACTTTAAACTTAATCTCTTGGATTTGTATTTGTGTCCTCATCCCCCCAGCATCCCAAGAATGTCTTTTTTTTGAGATGATTTAGATCTGATTCTTCAGAGATGCTAATGTCCTCTAACTCTCTTTTAGAATAAAAGAGATTAGTTTATGGGACTTCTGAAAACTAGGCCCAAAAAATTTTATGTTGGCCATTCAGAACCGGTGTTGCCTTCTGAACACGTTGATTCTGATTTGCTTTCTCTTCCCTGTAGAGCAGGCACAACAGAGGCTCCAACACCAGAACCAAACATGATGTAATTTTCAGTTTGAGGTGACTTTGCCTCCCATTGTCTGGTCATCTTGAGAGCCATTTCTGTGCATGCTAAGAGAGCTTTGCCTCTTAATAAAAGTAAAATCCCTAGCAAACATGGAATGTCCATTCAAAAACATGCAGCCAAAATATGGCAGTTGAAAACTTTACCTTCATGCTTTTTGTTCTGCAGGCCCTGATTGCGCACTATCTGGTTCATAATGAACAATGCTTATAGAATAACACACCTTATTATTTGTCTAAATGATTTCCCACCTGCCCACGCCATATTGAAACATTTCTGTGTGCAGTTGTTGGTCTAGTTTAAGCTAATTACAAACACAAATTAAGTGTGATTTGATTGTAACTGTGTCCGTTGAGCTGCTTATAATCGATTTTTGTGCAGGTGTCTGTAATTTACTGTCACAAACAAAGCTGAAAATGAGAGATGTATATGGAATGTTTTGTATAAAGTCAAGTAAATTCACACCTTTTTTTAATTGCTGAGCGTTAGGCATATGCTGGACTGGAAGCAAATTGAGATTAGCATCTGTTTTGTTTTTGTTGAAATATTCACTTGGGATTTGAACACTTTTGCAGTGGTATTGCTGACTCTCATTTTGGTTTTTACATCTAAATAAAAGCTTATTTTTTCCAGAAGGGCTATAGAAAAAGGTAAATAATTTGGGGAGAGGGATGGGAGGAAGATTTTTGTTGCTGATGCTGAAAGTGAGTGAGGGAATGAGGAGGTGGAGAGGAAGGCAGCAGAACAAAACCAATATTCCCTCTTCTGAACTCAGATGAATGTCATTTGGCAACTGCAGATCTTGCCAGCATCATGTAACTGATTTTCTTATGGCATTTATAACAGTAGTTGCCTTTCAAAGATTAATTTGCTTAAATCTATATCAAATTAAAATCAGATCAACAAGCCAGGAAGCTAGCTCTTAATGAATGTCATGCCATAAAGCTAGTCATATGTGACTTCATTTTGCAGCTGCTTTTGCTTTTGACCATACACCAAAAGTTGTCCTGTGTGAAACCACTGAGGAGCTTTTTTGCAGTATTTCATAAATGACATTTCAGTTTAACTTTTTTTTAAAAAAACTCTTGTATGATGTTGATAAATTTCTAGTAGAGCTCCTTTTGCATTAACTTTCAGTTATTGGTCACTGCTAACATGAAGAGAGGTGAGTGAAGACCTCTGATGTACTGGAAGACTTTTTAAAAGGGAATTCACACTACTTTTCCGTTACTGTTGAAACAGCCTACACCATTAATAAGATTAAATTTATTTAATTTTTTGCATCTGTTTTGTTGGCTTATGCTACATCTGGAGTGGACTTTAATAAAGCAAACCACTTACATATTGCTCAGTGTTTCACCAGCTGTCATTGCTCCATAACGCTGCTTATCAGAGCCTCCTGCTTTCATTTCCTTGGCGGTGCCTTTCTGCTTCAGAGGTTTCCATCTGCCTGTGTGTGTCTCCTGGCAATCTTGCTGTTGACAGGACTGTGCAAAAGTGCTGGAAGAAGTAATGAATGGTACAATTGAGATCAGAATTGACAGGCATCTTTAACAGAAGTTTGAAATCGTGAATGAAAAGTTGCTGCCTATTCTCAGCCAAGGAACAGCACTGTGTAGTGTTAAGATCAGAATCAAGGATTTGGGACTGCTGAGATCTCAGGGACTGGCTATCCTGAAACAGGCCTGAGCTGCTGTGCTAGAGTTGTTTGAGCTGAAATTATACCATAGCACTGTTTACAGATGTTAAGTTTTGCCTTTTCCCTTAACCGAAAAATATACCTATGTTAAAGGTAAGCAGAGAGGTGTAAAATGTGGGCTGTTCAAAGTCAGTTGAAAAGATGGAACTTGGGAAGTGTGACTATTAGTTTACTCCCACAGTATACTTATGGACCCAAAGGTAATGTATGGTAAATCCGTGTCTGTGCTCATTGCACTACTTTTACCCTGGACTGAGTGTAGAACAACAAGTTCCTTGTTTTTCAGCTGTCACTGTGGTGTTCCGTCTTTCAGTGATGGAAAAAGAGAGTATTTGCTGTCAGTCTAGGAAAATGCTCAAGCCTTTTCTGCTTCATGTACCATGAGAAAAGGTCTGATAAAGGGCATTTGCAATTGATGAAGAATGAGGTGGAAAAAATGAGCTGGACTTCCAAATGTCAGGAGGAGTTAATGTGCTGGAAATTTAACTAAATCTGATCTTAGACATGAAATAAATTTGGATCCCCATTGGGATGCTCTCCTTGTGACAGGAAATTTGAGGGAGTTGGAGGGTATGCTGGAACTTGCAAGAACATTAAAGTTTGTCTTCTGCAAAATCCTGCTTGGAAAGATTTATGTATGTGTAAATAAAGCAGATAGCTTTATGTCAGATGTAGTGAAGAAAAGCTGGCAGGCTTGGGAGTGCTGCTTCCCCGTGTGCCGTGGGGTCTTCCCCCCCGCCCCCCTGTAAGCACTAATGCTTTGCTGTTAAGTTTCTGCTTTCATTTGGAGCTTCTCTTTTCATGTGCGTCTGACCTTCATATCTTGGGCTAAGTTGGTTCATCACTTCTGCCATTCAGCTAAGCAGCTTCAGCTGTGCTGGTCTTACCACAGATGAGCAGCTGAAAACCAGAAGCCCCAGCATCAGAGAGGAATGCTGACTGCCACACTGCAGAGAAGTGCTATAAACAAGCTTTCCTTTGGCCTTTGCTCAGGCAACAGGATGGTGGCACAGGAGTTTGTAATTAACGGGAGAAAGGTAGTGACTATAAAGCAGTGCTTAAGCTGTCATAGGGAATAGTAATTGGCTTTATCCAAATATTCCTAAAGAAATTCTAGCTTACAGTAATTAAGAACCTACCTGTTACGGTTACATGTTTTTGAAACACAGATTTCTGGATCTTCTGAAATGAGGCATCTCCTGGATTTCAATTGATAACTATTTAAAACTATTTTAGCAGCAATTAAATTATCTTCTGTATTCAGTACTGTCTTGTTATTTTGAGGTGTATGATAATGTAAGGAGCAGATGATTTTTCCAGTGTGTGATCTTTATTTCCTTTGACCTGCGTTAATTTCTTTTTTTTTTCTTTTTCCCCCAGACAAATGAGGCGAGCTCCGAGTCGATAGCTTCTGCCCCTAAAAGGGACACCATGAGCAACTTCCTGCCAGACAGCAGCTGTTACGAGTTGCTCACTATCATCGGTAATACTGCTAGTGGGCTGGAGGGTCAGAAGTCTGCTTTGCAAAGAAAATAACTTCCGTAAATTTGTTGGCCTTTTCTTGAGTGATTGCTTATTTTTGATGTTAGATGCCTGTCCTCTTTGATTTTAAAAATCACTTTAATAAAAAATGAGATGCCAATCCTAAAGGCTTTCAACTGAAAGAGGCATGTGGTGGGTTAATGATACTGAGGTGAAGTACAAAGTCAGCAGAAGCAGCCTGAAACCTGGCCCTGTCCTTGTAGGGCTGTGGCCTAATGATTTTATTTCTACCTCAGTTCTGAGCTTGAAAGACAGGATAATATTGCTGGCTAGGAGGATTTCTCTCTGATGGGATATATGCCAAGGAAGGTGGTGTCTGATGGAACAATTACTCTTTTTCACAAGGCCAAAAACAGTTTCAGTAAATGAGTGTACAGATTATTTAAGGGTCAAGGACTGGAGGAGTTCTCCGGAAATGTGTGTCTCCGGAATTATTGCTGAAGCTTTAATGCCTTTTCTTTCAGGCAGAGGCTTCGAAGACTTGATGGTTGTGAACTTGGCCAGGTATAAACCCACAGGAGAGTATGTCACAGTCAGAAGAGTGAACTTGGAGGCCTGCACAAATGAAATGGTCACGTTCTTGCAGGTAACACGAATCCACTAATACCATAATGCAAGTTTAGGAGAGGACAGACAGCAAAAGCAGTGCTTATCAATACTGTATTCATATTTCTGCATTTACTAAATTGAATCAAAATATCTTTTTTTATTTTAGGGGGAACTTCATGTTTCCAAGCTCTTCAACCACCCTAACATCGTGCCATACAAAGCAACTTTCATAGCTGACAATGAGCTATGGGTGGTGACATCTTTCATGGCCTATGGTAGGTGGAGAGGGAATACCTTTGTCTGACCATCATGTTCTGTGAAATGAAATTCAAGAGGTGAAGTATCATTGGTGTTTTTCTGACCAATTAAGAGGTGTTTTGTTTCTTTTTAGGTTCTGCAAAAGATTTAATCTGTACCCATTTTATGGATGGGATGAATGAACTGGCTATCGCATATATCCTCCAAGGCGTATTGAAAGCCCTTGACTACATCCACCATATGGGCTATGTACATAGGTATTTAAAAAAAAAAAAAGGCAATGCATTTTCCTTCTGTTGGAAGTTCTCAGAAATACCGCTCATCGTTAGAGCAGGGTGGATAGTTTGAGATGTGGAATGCATTATCAAGTTTTGGATTACTTTGCGTTTAGAGCAAGTCAGTTTGATGCTGATGGGAAATTATATCATTGATCTTAGTAAACTGCATGAAAGTGTCCCCGTGGAACAGACTTATCCCCAAAGACCACCGTGTATCTCAAATCACAACCGCAGCTCCTGTTGACAGGCTGAAATGTTAAGGCTCTGTTCAGGTTACTGTTGATGGTCTCCACATTGAGACTGACAGTGGCGGGCTGGGAGGGATTTGCCCTGTTACTATTGAAGGTCCTGGGTCCATAACCTTTAGTCCTGCACTTCTTGCCACAGAAACATTCTTTGGGAACCTGCAAAGTGGGTGAATAAAGTCCTGTTGATGTTTGTAGAAGTTTGAAGAATGCATAGCATTCAGGATGGTCCTTAGGAGTCTCAGCCTCCTGGTAGGAGGCTGATCAAGTATTGTCCTGCACACTGAACTGCCCAGTAAAGTAGGCTTTTGTCCTTTCCATAGGTGCTAAGGATAAATTTCTATTTAATACTGCAGCTTCTCTTAATCGCTTTCTAAATCACTGTCTCCACCCCTCAGCATTTTTTCCTCTTCTCTGATACATCCCTCTGTTGCGAGAGTAAATTTCAGATGCTGAAAGTTCTAGGTTATTATTGTTTACTACTTTTATTGTATGTACTATAAAAGAAATTCACCTTACCTATGCCTGCCCTAAACCCTTTGGAGTGCACTTCCGCACTAAGTCTTCCTGGGAAAGCTCAAAGGAACGTAAGTCCTTTGAGGCCAGAGAACCTGACTATTTTTACTTTTTTTTCAGGAGTGTTAAAGCCAGCCATATCCTGATCTCTGTAGATGGGAAGGTGTACCTCTCTGGCCTGCGAAGTAATCTAAGTATGATCAACCATGGGCAGCGACTCAAAGTTGTTCATGACTTCCCCAAATACAGCATCAAAGTCCTGCCTTGGCTCAGTCCTGAAGTCTTGCAGCAGGTGTGTTTAAAAAAACCTGCTAATTTTTAGTGATATATGGTATCTCTGTATAATTTTCTGAGTTTGCATGGCATGTTTTGGGGGGGGCGCGGGACAGACGGTTGAGGGATGGGACATGACAAGCCACAGGGTTATTTTTCCTCGTGATGAGCTCTATCCTTTTTTGCTATCCTTTTTACCTTACAACCAGTGACCCCTACCAAGGGGAAACTTGTATTCCTGTCAAAAGGGGCAATTGCTGAGCTCATGTTACAACATTGTCTTTTCTTTCCCTCCAGAGGAAGGTGTGCAAATGCAAGGAAGGGGAGAGGCTAGAGGAAGCAGATTTGGGGAGGGTGCAGGGCAAGCGGGTAGAATTTGATCTGATCTATTTGACTAAATAGTTTTCTTGTAGGTACCTCTACAGATTCTCCCATTAGCAAAGTGTTACGTTAGATGCCGGTTACCCTAAGCTAGATGCCATCCCTACTAGCTAGCTGATTTCAGTTAAATACGTGTTGCCCTTAACTGTGTGTTTTAACAAACAAAAAAACCAGCACCACAATAAACCAGCCTATATGTGGGTTGTACTATTTCTGCTCTAATCGTTTGGGTTTGCTGTTCTGTATATCGAATCATGGGTATTGCCTGTGCCATCAGATGTAAGTCCACAAGGCGAATCTTTCTGTTCATTTAGAATCTCCAGGGTTATGATGCAAAATCTGACATTTACAGCGTGGGGATAACAGCCTGTGAGCTGGCAAATGGACACGTACCATTTAAAGACATGCCTTCTACTCAGGTAAGGTTTAAAAGCTGGCACACAGAACTGCTTTGCTGCACTGGGATATGAGACAGAGGGTGCCATGCCTACCTACAGAACTGCTTTGCTGCACTGGGATATGAAGACAGACGGGTGCCATGCCTACCCGAATGGGAAATCTTAACTCTGTGTGATGTTGCTTACGCCTCTTCTCTTCCAGATGCTCTTGGAGAAGCTGAATGGAACTGTTCCCTGCCTGCTGGACACCACCACAATTCCTGATTTTGACTATGAAGACCTCCCGTTCCAGCGCTAACTATGGGATGGGTGAGAACATGGCTACTAGCAATGTGAGAGCGGCCAATGGGGAGCCAGCCCTGCACCCCTATCTTCGGACCTTCTCCACCTACTTCCATAACTTTGTAGAGCAGTGCCTCCAGCGGAACCCCGACTTCAGGTAAAGCCAAGTGAAAGCTGCTCTTCACAGACCTGTGCTATTCTAGGGCTGAATTAAACAACCTCTGCTGGTTCTCATGGTTTGAAGTTTTCTTTCCAAAAGCCTAGTGGAGTGAGGATGTACTCCATACATTGAGAAGAGCAGTAAAACAAGAGCAGTGTTAACACTTTGAGCACTTTCTGTAAGATAGCCTGAAGAATTACTTTGCAGCCTTCTTTGGGGGGTAGAGTGGTGCTGCATGGCTGCAAAATAAACTGAACAACTTGAATTTCTGGTCCTTGTGAGACTGTGTTTACCCAGTTACCATCGCTGTGTATCTCTGCTGTTCAGCCAGCAGAGAATAATGATGGGGAGTGATCAAGAACTGTATTTTTCTCTGCAGTGAGTGTAAGGTTGTCTTCAGCCATGACAAACTTCTTTAGCATACCACACTCTTCAGAAGCTTTCCCTTAACCAAATGTTGGGGTGTGCTAGTAGTAACTTAAGCAGTTCAACCTTCTGCGCGTGTAAAACATCACATGAACGTAATAGAGAGTGCTACTGGTTACAAAAGGGAGATATCCTATACCTGACAAATGAGAGGCAGGAAGGACCTTGGTCTTTTCTTTCTTCCACTACCTGACTTTAGACACTGATGCATTTTCTTGTGTGTTTCCTTTATTCCTACTCCCTTCTACAGGCCAAGTGCAGGCACTCTGCTGAATCATCCCTTTTTCAAGCAGGTAAGGAACTCATTTAACCTGCAGAGAAAGAACAGTGGCTTTTCTGTAGTTGTCGTCTTGCTGTGTCACTGAACCCGAGGGTGGGAATGTTGAGTTGCTGAATTTTTTGTGATCTGAAAGGATTAAGTTAGTTTAGTGACTAAGTGTAGTGCAGCTTAGCAATCGTCACAATCTCCTGCGAGGTGGATGGGCTGTTCTCAAAGCATCTCTTCCTTCTCTAAACAGAGGATGGAAATCTGCCTGCCCTGTATCCCAGAACGGTTTTTCACCCGCAGGCTATTGAGTACTGGGGCAAGGCAGTCCTAACGTGGTCCTTAAGGAGACCAAACTGAGGTGACCTGTGCATTGCTTGCAGCTGTGTGGCAGGTTGGCGAGCCCCAGCCCTGGGATGGGAAAAGGCAGTGGCTCTGCTGCCCCTGAAATGATTTGTCTGGCTCGCTCTGAGCTGAGGGTTAAGGTTGTGCTTCACCGAGAGGGGAGCATCCGGACCACAGCACCCACGTGCTGCTGAAAAGACTGCGTGCAAAGCACTTTGCTGTTACAAGATGCAGCATGAAAGTCCCGCACATCTCTCTGGGTGCAGGCGGGAGGGTAACAACTGTGTTCTCACTCTCTGCTTCTAACCACACATTGTTGCTGCTTGACTGTGATGCACAAGCATGGGGAAGCATTCCACCAGCCGAGTTCTCTCCTTTCTGTGCAGATCAAGCGCCGCGCCTCTGAAGCACTCCCTGAACTTCTGCGCCCCGTCACCCCAATCACCAATTTGGAAGGAACACGGCCCCAGGATCCCAGTGGCATTTTTGGGCTGGTATCAAACCTGGAGCAGCTGGATGTGGATGACTGGGAATTCTAGAAAAACAGGGACTATACCTGCTTCTGGACATTGTTAATTTATTGGTCCTGTTCATAAAAGGTGATGAATGTTACGCGTAGAAGAGTTTACAGGTCCTTGGGAAGGAACTTCAACTGCCTGTTTACTTTAGTAGTAGCCTGGAAACAAATGGACAGACCTGAGGTGGAAGAGGATCAACCCTAAGGAACTGTGGAGTATTCCGGATGGTGCAGTGCCCAGAGCTCCAGTTCTTGCAGCTGAGTGCTGGTGGATCACTCGAATGGGTTGAGTGAGTCTGGGTAGTTATGTTCTCTATTTATGTGTTTCCAAAAATCACTGGCTTCCTCGTATCACAGTTGAAGGCTGCATGTCCCTACCCTCTTTGGTTCTTTCTCTTAAGGGTGCCTTAGAGTTAAGGGGAGGCAGGCAGCTCTTAATTTGGGGCATCCTCTTGGAGCTAGTCAGATTACTGTTACGCTGTTGTCACAGGGTAAGTTTTGAGGGTAGGGAAAAAAAAGGGATTGGGTTCTTAAAAGTAGTTACTGTTTTGTGATGGAAAATGGGAGATCAAAGTCAACCCAGTTCCATTCCAGGCACACTCACTGCATCGGGCATTCCTCTGCAGCACTGGATTCTTCTCTTCCACGTCTGGAGAGAGCTTTTGAAGAGACACCTCTCCCTTGATGCTGAGCACTCTGAACTCCAGGTCAGACAGGGCATTCCAGCCTCTCCTCCCATGGCTGCCTGTCCAATGTACCAGCTGTTCTATCCCCACAGCACATCTAGCTGAGCCTCCTCTTCGCTGGGCTGGTTTCACAGCACAAAACACTCATACCAGCTTGTTCTCAATGACTGCCTTACCCTGGCACAGAGAAGTTGATTTTTCATGCTAAATTCTCTTGATCACAACTCCTCTTTGCACATCACGTACAGAATTGATCTTAAGCCTTCCCTAACTCAATGAGGCAAAAGCTTGCTTCTCACGTGGCTCCCCTTCATTCATGGCTGTGTGACTTTGCTGTGGCAGCTCTCCCCTGTTCGGTGGTACTTGTTTTTTGGAGGTGTATTTAGGGCTTTTAGTTTGACCTTTCCAAGGACCACAGGTGCTGGAGGTCTTCTACTCTTTAATGAAGCACTGAGAATCCAGTCCTGTAGGTGTGGTTGATGGGAGTAGTGGTGCTGGCAACAGGTCCTTCTTGTGTTTATAAACTGTACTTGAACCCAGATAAAGTTTGTTACTCTAGTTTTTTTGCCAAAACAAATAAAGTGTTTCTGAAGTTTGTTTTTTTTAAGTCTGCTGTTTCTGCCAGATGATGGAGTGGATCACACCTGATGCCACAGGCTGGCTGTGCACACTTAACTCATTTCCTCACCGCACTTGCAACTGCCTTCATGTTTCAAAACCATATTTCAACTAAAGCAAGAAGCTGCAAACAACTGCCCTTGCTCTTCCCTGAAGTCGGAGTAGAATGCATTCTCCCAGGGCAGGAGTGGTTGTAAGGGCAGGCTACAGCAGATAGGACAGGCCCACTTCGTCTTCCTCCCTAGGATCAGGTTTGGCTCCTGATTTAATTTTATTATAGTAAGTAGATCTTAATTTCCTGACTTGTTATGAAGTCTGCAGCTTGTGAAAATCCCTGTCCCAGAAGCCTGGACAGGGACTGAATTGCTAGTATTTAGAGCAGGAAAAAGTGTGGTACCACTCGGCATAAAACCTTTGGGACCAAGTTAGTGATGGCTGGGAGGAGATGGGTTTTCTCACAAGAGGGATGATTCAAGAGGTGTTGCCCACTGAAGTTCTAAGCCTCTTGAATTCTCCTAGGAACCAAGAGGCGGGCAGAAGAGACAGGAGGGAATACAGTGAGCTGTAATAAATCACAAATAACTGCAGCACTCAAGCTTGCTTTCCCACGAGTTAGCATTTTTAGGGTGAAGGATGAACTTAATGTAAGCTAGTATTTCTCATCCCTTTCCATGCTTTCAGCTTGCTACATGCTCAAACATTATGGACTTAACTTGGAGAGCGTTTTATGCTTACACAGCAGCAGGAAGCAGGCAGGATCAGTGCAAAGTTAGGAGTGAAACAGCAGCAGCTTGGTCAAAAAAAGAGGTTATGAAGTAACTGACTGCACAGCCTTCAACACCTCCTTCCCCAGGCGCCCTGCTGCACTCCGAGGAGACTGCTGGGGTCCTGGTGGTAGCAGACAGCGGTGTCTGCTCGACTCTGACCTTACCTGTTCTGTCTTGTGCCTTCACAAAGCAGCAAACAGGGAGTCCAGCACAGTCAGGACCTGTTTTAGTAGCTGCTGGTTGGATACACAAGCCTACAGCCACTGGCCCCGAGGCAACTGCTGTGAGCTTTTTTTTTTATCTCCCATGAAAGCTTTATTCAGCTAGATACAAAACAGGGTGCTCTGCTACTGCGGGTCCTCTCCATGATCTGAATGCTGCTGCTCTTCCTCCTCTTCCTCCTCCCCTTTGTGTTTTTCCAGTTTTGCCATGAGCTCTGAAAAACAGGAATCAGCAGGATGAGACCCCAGGTGCAGGGGCTGTCCCACACCAAAGCCAGGTGCCCAGGTCCTGTGAACACCCAACTCGGCCAGAACCAGGGCAGCTACCAACAATCACTTGCCTACACAAAGGCCTCAGCTAGGAGCTACCAGCGCTTGCCCCGTCCAGGGCATCAGATGTTACAGACGCTGAATCCATCAGTGCGGTACTGACCTGCCAACTAGAGCACCAGACAAGCTGCTGCCTCTGCTCCCGTGGCACATCCCCCCTACGCTCACCGGACCTCACACTCCCCGTGTTCCCTGTCTGGGCAAGCACAGACGATCACTTCACACCTATGGAGCCACCCAGGCCATGATTTAGTATCTCCTGGCACTGAAGGAAGCTCTGCTGGCAGCCAAGAGCTGTGAGCTCCAGCTTAGGGCCAGGCCCTCTCTCCCACAAGTGCCCGTTACCTTTTGCTGGGTTGAAGACTCCATTGGTTTGCTTGTCACAGACGTAGCAGCGCTGGGATTTGCGATAGTGTTGGAGGGCACAACTCTCACAGAAGTAGTGCTTACACCTGTACGGAGACACAGATGCCACTGCCAGTCACCAGATACAACCACTGTGTCCAGGAGTTAGAAATTATTGACTACTGGTTGCTGGGGGATGCAAAAGTGAGCTGCATGCAGAGCTTCCTCTGCATCATTGTCCCCATGAAAGGTGTTTCAGCATTGCTTCACTGATGTGGAGTGATGGGACAGAGCCACCAGCGAGCTCCTCCAGCCACCAGGTACCCGACAAGACAGGCAGCAGCGTGGGAAAGGGCTGGCGGTGCGTGATGTCCACGCTGCCCCCGCAGCCTGCTCCTCATCCTCGCCAAGCTCTTGGCTTCCCCATGCTTCTGTTGCTCTGCTCAGGCAATGCAGTGTGTCATTCGGTGTCGAGGAGGAATGAAGGCATGAAAACAAAATCTCAAGGTTAAGGGGAAAGATGACGTAATGAGGCAGCATCTGTGGAAATCTAACGGGTGCTTGGACAACAAAGGCTTGAGCTTCCTTCCCAGGAGATGCTCCAGATGCAGCTGTGAGACTCCCTGGTTATCAGAGGATTTCCCCACCCACCAGAAAGCCATGGCAGACAACAAGCGGGTTCCACCCACCAGCCTGCGGGCAGTGTATTTGCCTCGACAGTGAATGACTAGTGAACTGGATCGACAGCAGACACTTGGCTCCTCATGCCAAACCAACCAACCACTTACTTGGTCACCACGGGGTTCTTGAAGGAACTTCTGCAGATGAAGCATTTGAAAGGCATATCCTCCTCATCACTGCTCACCTCATAGTTTTCCTCATCTGCAGAAGAGAAAGTTAACCAGACTGGAGCAACAGCAGAGGCAGCCAGACCAGCCCATGCGTGGGGTATGAAATATTAAATATGGAGAGAGCACAGCAGGTGGGATTAAATCTCTGCTGGAAACAACAGAGCTCTGGCATCTGGGTGTTGCTGATGTCAGTAACACATGGCCGACTATGATATAATTAGGTCTAATGAGCCAGCATGCTTGTTGCTCATCTCACAAGAGCAAATTCTTTTCCACCTCACCCACTCACTGCTATAAAGAGACATAACCTCCAGCCCCCTCCTATTTTTAAGATTTTCTTCCAAACCAGCTGCCACCAAACCCTTTGGCTCCAACTGAACAGAGAACACCTCTTCCCCTCAGCTGCACAGCGATTCATGAGCTTTACGCCACAGCTAAGGACACTATGAGTGAGAAATAGTGATGTGATGTAGCATGAAAGCATCCCACCTCCTGGGCATCTGGGGGGCAGGAGACAAGCGTCATACCTCCCCAGCTCCACACAGCTTGCCGCTGGGACCCATACAACAGCAGTGCTATCCTTTTATAGAGAGCCAGAGGAAATAATTCTCTCTGGCGGCAGTCTGGTTATCTGAAAGCAGCAGATGTGCTCAGCACTGTCAGTGGTTACTGGCCCTAAGGTTATCCTGCAGCAGGGAGTTCCACAGCTTTGGAACAAAAAGTCTTTTCTGTCTAATATTAATTCAGCTCATGGCCCATGCAGTTTGAGGGAGCAAAGGAACCATTTCATTCTTAGTGATCCAATATCATTCTTAGTGATCCAATATCCGTTAGACTTGTTCACTTCAGGGCATGATAAAATGCAGGACCTGGTAGCTTCATTCACCGTTAGCTTAGGGAGCGGGAGAGCAGAGGGGTGGTGCCGTACCATTGACTCCGTACCGGCCTTCATCCAGTTCCCGTTCGATCTGCCAGCCATGTTTGTAGTCTGAGCGGTCGTGGAGGAATTTGCAGCTGTCTGAGCAGCACAAAGAAAGAGGAATTACAGCTGGACTGTGTGGGGTAGAGTGTTAACAGGACACTTCATACAAGGGCAGCCTAAGCTTTGCCCAGCAGAAGGTGAAACCTGGTTGCTTCCCCGCCTGCCTGTGCTCCAGGGCAGTGCCAAGCTCCTGGAGCAGGCAGGCAGAAGATTGCTCTCAGGGTTGACAGGCCGCAAGAATCGTGCTCTGTGTGCCACAGCAACAGTTCCAGCACTTACACACGTGGGAAGTGGGATAAGGAACAGGAAATCCCATCCCTCACATGGCCTCAGTGGCCAGAATACCTCTGAGAATGTGGGTCACCTGTGGGAATGTGGGAACATCCCGGAGGTCCCTTCCAGAACTCTTACACCCACTGATTAGAGGCCATCAGCTTTCAGAAGGGCTGACGCAAATGACAAGAACGTTATGTAAAACAACTTTGCATCAGCATCACACACCAGCTCTGCAAACAAGTGCCTGTAAATCAGTAAGTGCCCACCTTAGCTCCGCAAACATGGGATCACAAGGTGGACTGGATCCCTTTGCATACCTGGCGCAGCACGTGTTCAGCTGCAGGCAAAATCCACTCACCTCCAAAGCCGCAGAACCCAGTTTCTTTGTAGTCTTTGCAGATGTCGGGCTGGTAGTCCCATCGCACTGTGGCCCGCAAGTGCTCCGGAGCACGGATGGGTCCTTTTCTGAAAGGGTGGGAGAAGGCTCAGGCCGGCTGCGCAGCTGCAGTGGAGAAGGCCCCTGGAGGCCTGGTCAGAACCAGACACCGGACTCGTTAGACAGAAAGAAGCTGGCAGTGACAACAAAGTTCAAACCTCAAACAGGTGCCTTTGGCGATGGTGCCTGAGCTCCTCTGTGGTCCCAGTCCTCTGAGGCTCATCCCAACCTACCTGACCATTCCTGAAGAGGCGTTTCCCATCGATGTGTCCTTGGGCTTCACATACTTCTGGTAGTTGTTAATACCACGGTAAATTTTATCATCTTCCTTTCCTCTCAGCTCCTAGGAAAGCAAAAAAAAGGTGATTAAGGATCAGGAAAGCTTCATGACACAGACTAGCTTTCACCACTCTGACATCAGTCTCCCTTCCCAGTCCTGCCTTCCTTAATACCAAGATGCCAATAAAGCCAGAAATTTCCCCTATTTGCGAGGGTTATGCTCTTGGCTTCTCAAATTTCCAGGCAGGAAGAGATGCAAACTCTTCTTGGTGTGCAGAAGGGGATGAGTAAAGCACACGTACTCCTGCTGTAGAGCACTAGCTCTTACAGAGCAAGGCTGACTCACCTCCTGGATTTTCTGGCTGCGCTCGAAGATGGCCTGGGCATCTTTCTCCTTCTCCGTGTCCAGCTCATAAACTGCTGTGGCTCCCATGTCTTCTGGGCCAACAGGTTTCTGAAAAGCAAGAAGAACTTGTGACAACAGTGAGGAGAAAGCCTGTACAAGACAGAGAGCTCCTTGGCTACCTGAAGGGTTGGTCACAGAGCAAGTACTGGACATGGCCTGCTTTACCTTCCACCAGTTTCTACCGTCTCTTAGTACCTGCCAGGGAGAATCCCCCACGGGCCACAGCCAGCCTAGTGCTTGCAGAGGCCAGAGTGCTAATTACCCACTGCTCCCAAGATTTAGCCTGCAGAATCAGGAAACACTTGTCTTGTCTTTATTACTTCCTCATGCTCAGCCTCAGCTTGGCTGGAAGCTGAATTCAGGTCTCCCATGTCCAACACTTTAATCATGAGACCATCCTGCCTACACGCAGGATGTTATGTCCGAACTTTTAACCCAGTTGTGGGTGGCTTACATTCAGTTTTAATACAGTGATCTGGTTTAGATTCCTCTTTAATAGACTGAACAGACACCTATTCCTAGGTTTTATCAGATCTTCAGGAACAGCTGCACAGAAACCAAAGAATAATTACAGCCAGCCTCAATTCAAACCAAATCCAACTTAGGTGCCAAAAGCTTCTGGAGCCCCAAAGCTGTCATCTCCTCCTGTTCCCTTCCCATTGTTCTACAGCAAGGAGGGCTGACAACACGTTGCCCACCTTGGCAGCAAAGCAGTGAATAATTACAGCATGAAGTTATATTCATATTAATCTCTAAAGTGACAAGGAGACCTCGGTCTGACCCTGCAGCTGTGACTGGGGACAGTTAGGCATTATTCTCATTTTATAAAGAGGCACAAACAATAAGAAAATAGGTCTGAAGAGGAACATGCATTGTTACTTGCTTTTAATCCTAGTTATACCCGCCCAGGCTCATACTAATGGGCAAAACCTCACTGGATCAATCAGAAAGTTAAGAGAAAAAATCTAGTGGGAAGAGCAATTTGAGTTACGCCCAAACCTTCACAGCTGATTTCTCTCCACTCCAGATGTTCACAGGACACCCAGGACATCCGACCCATGAATCCCAAGAAAACAGTGACCTTTCCCTGCAGCTCTTACTCCATCGCTAGTCACAAGCGCCTGAAGTCACCTTGAATTCTTTGTAAACAAAGATTGTCTAAAACTGAAAACACGAACCCAACAGTAAGGCAAACCTGATTCAAGTGCTCCCTCTCCTGAAAATTTTGTGTGATGCTGGGCAAGCCCAGTGGCTTCCTGAGGCTTTAATTCCCACCTCTAAGAGGATAAGGCCAACCTTAGATGGCCTCCTGAGGATGCAGGGGGTATCAGGAGAATAAACCTAGCACAAGATGCTTGTCTATTAAGAGAGAAAGGACAGGGAGGTGCATCTAGAGATAAAAAAGAAGGAATGGCTAATCCCACATTCATAGAGGCAATTTCTCTCTATCAACTGTGGGATCTGCCAGTCCACCTGACCTCATACCCCAGAACCACATTCCTGCCCAGTCCTTACCGCCGACCTTGTCGATTTGTAAGTGACTCCGATCTCCTTTGACAGATCCTCATCATCGCTGCTGCTCGGTGCGTACGCGGGCCTCTCCTTCACGCACCTCCTGGTCTGAGGGACAAGAAGACAGCAGGTATGAAGGACGGAAGGCTCCAACACCGTGTCTAGCTTGAGCTTGGCAGGCCACTGCAGACGCAGCTCAGATGGAGCAGTGCCCTGCTGTGGCTCCCTTACCTTCTGGATCATGGGGTTGGGGGTCTCCC